TCTTGAATTTTCAAACTAAAACTTGGTAACATGCAGAAATACTTTTCTTGAGAATGTAATTTGTTTACAGGTAGTCCTCGGGTTTTGACAGCAATTAGAACCAGGATTGCCATCAGTAAGTGATGCAGTTATAAAATGCGACGTTCTGTGACTGAATTGCTTAGCGACGCTAATTCTGGCAGTCCCAGTCGCTGTGGTAACCCCAAGATCCGCAGGTTGTTAAGTGGGAAGTGAAGGGAATCCCAGATAAGGAATGCGGGGGTCCTGCGGGGGTAGGTGAGAGAGGCCCTGGACGCCCAATGCAGGCCATTCACAAGTTGGGGGAGGCTGGGGATGGGGGTGCTGTGCCACAGCGTGTTTGCTTGTGGAAAGCTAGCAGGGAAGGTTGCAAATGACAGTTTGTTGCACGGAATGTTGCAACTATTGTAAGTGCGAGCAGGTTGCCAAGTGCCCAAATCGTGATCATGTGACCATGGGAATGCTGGGAGGACCGGAACTCCGAAGACCAGTTATAAATACCACTCATTAGGCGCTGTCTCAACTTCAAATGGTTGCTGAATGAGCGGTCAGTAAGCAAGGACTACCTGTATACCCAGCTTTTCTGAAACTTAGCTGCCTGTTAAAGCAGCATTGCTTCTTCCAAGCTTCCTTAAAACTCAGCATTACAAAATCTTCTTCAAGGAGTTGTTAGAACCAGCCAAACAAAGCAAGTAAACCAAAATGTGTTCCTCGCTGACACCAGAACCAGCTCACAGCCCTGAAATAAGGGAGATAAGGAAAGGCATAGGAGGGACAGACTCATCGAAATACTATGGGTCTTATCCATAATCAGTTTTAACTAAAATGCAGTAATGCATGACAAGATGTCTAAAATAGGAAGGAATGCACATCCTCATTTATTTCACAAGAAAAGCTATAAACTTGGGTATCATCAGCATAGATATAGTTTTTAAAGCCAAATTGTGGGATTAGGTAAACAAGGGGAAGGATATATAAGGAAAAGAACCTGGGGATACTGAAAAAGGAAATTACTGAAACCAAGATAAAGCATTGCTGATGACCCCATGGGATTTTGGCCTCATCGCTAGTATCTGCTAGTGAACAGTATCAAATGCTGGAGACAAGTATAATAGCACTAACAGTGAAAAAGGCCAGTGGTTCTGGCCACCAGAATTTCCTTCACTGCTCAAAGGAGTGCCATCTCACCTGAATGACTTGGAATCCTGCCTTTAGCAGATTTTTATTTATGTATTTATGAATCATATTTATATGGCCACTCATCTCTCAAAATGTGACTCTGGGTGGCATACAATAAAACCATAAAATAGCAATATTAAAACAAAGTACCATTAAAAACTGATGTTTTTAAAAAGGTTAGGCAAGAGCATTGGATGTTATGAACAGAAGAGCTGTTCATATGATAATAGAGATGATAATGTCTAGGAGTGTAGAGCAAAATAAAGAAGTCAGTGGTTCACAAGGATGCTTCTTCCATTCATATTAATCTCTATGGACCTTCATCCTTGCTTTCTAAATTCCCAAAAGAACCAGATATGGGGGAGGACAAGACAAATAACCCATAATACTGGAGGAACAATAAAGGTCATAATCTGCATGAAGGAATCCAATAGCTCTACGTTGACATCTCTTAATAATTCTGTAAAAACAAGTCATGGCGAATTATCTTCCAAGGAATAATTGGGAGCTACCACAGGAATAGAAAATGGTGAAGAATCCTGAAATATAATTTTCCTTTGACAGGGAGCCAGAGAATAATAAGGGAAAGTGAAAACAGTGCAAAATGATAGCCAGAATAATTTGAAGAAGTTGTGGAGATTAAGATTGACTGAGTATCACATACACCCAGCAACCAGAGTTTATGCATTGGGGTATTGGTTAAAATGTATTTAATTTAGGTTGTCAGAATTCCACTCCTTCAGTATTAGTTCCAGCTTTTGTAAGGTTGTTTGAGATGAGTGGATATTTTTCTAAATAAAATGTTACATTGAGTTACCATCATTTTTATACCCATCCTAATGGATGTAACAGAAGAAAAGAATGTTTAATGACTTCACAGGGCAAAGCAAGATTCTTTTCTGGCTTTGAACAAGGACTGTTAGATCAGGAATAGGAAGCATTGTGCCTCACAAAAAAATTTAAAACTTTGTGTGTGAATACCCAGGAGGAGAAAGGCTGTTCTTTCTTTTGGGCTTTATAAGCTTGAAGCTGAGCAGTACAAGGTGGCTATAAAATGATGCCTGTGAAGATTGTCACAGAATGGAACAGATGATCTGTCAGACTTTTCTTTTAAGCTCTAGCAATGCCTTCTTCATTATAAATGCCATCATTCTCTTGTTCAAAAACACACGGAATTGTTAACTTCCGTTGAATCTCCCTTTAAAACATTTATACACCTGAGGATCATATCTAGCTTTCCTGGCAAGACTGTGCATACTACTGTATTAAGTACTTCTTAAAACAAAACACATTGGCTTCAAAATGGTGTTTTGAGAATAAATAAAGAAAATGCTTTTTACTGGAAGGACACATACTAGAACTAGCAGGCTAATATTTTTAGAAACAGGATGCGACAGCTCTCACAAATACCGGATGTTTAAAATATACAAATGATATTACCAGTAAGTTAATTACCTTAAGTTTATTTCATCCTTTTAAAAAATGATCCTGGAATAACAATACTGCTGTCTCAAGGATTTCCCCATAAAATAAAGCTTAGTTATTTTTCTTGAAGATGATGGAACTCAATATGTCTCTTTTCTATTCATTTCAAGAGCGTTTTGTATGTAATGCTCTTGAAATGCTTATTTTTCCCAGTTCTAACAGTAGTAAAATCCCATCACCATACTCATAAATTAGGGAAAACAAGGAGGATCCAAAAATGTGCTTAAGCATTTTGTGTTAATTATCCCCTTAAGATAAATCTGCTATACTGTATAGCATTTTTCTGGCAAATGGTCTATGGGGTAATATTTATCAAAATACTAAATTAAAAAAAAATCACAGGAGCATTCTGTGAGAAAAACTGTGCATTAGTGATACAAGATGGGGAAATATCTATCTCTTATTCTACATCATGTATAGCTTGGAGATTAAAATAGATCTGTACTTCCCTTCCCCTCTCAAACCTCTATTAGTGATTTAGCGTGCCTGTCACGGTGTCAGTTTAAATATGGTTTAATCAGTGTAATATTTCCTTTGTGGATAACTTTCTTACATTTTGAGGCTCCAGTGTCCATGTGACTAACATTTCATAATCTGCCCGGCCCGTTCAGTTTTTATTATTAACTCATGGTCACTGACATTATTTGACACATTTCTTGATGCTGCTGCTAGGAAACATGAGGTACGTATTGCCCTGGCCTTTTGTGACTCTCATTAGCCAAATTCTGCAGCTGTAGCCTCAGAGCATCACATGACAAGCCTCATTGCTGTTTTCACAGCTGTATTTGTGTTTTATCTTTTCTTTAATAACTGGCAGTCATTTGGAACTTTTAAAAAAAAATTAAGTCCTCCTCCTTAATATTGTTAATCCAGCCAAATATATTCCCTTGGCTGAATTGATGTAATTGTTCTTTGTGTTGCTCTTTGAAACCTTTGCAAATTGTCATGTGTAGCTTTGGAGCTGAGAAGGAAGGAAATGAATAGTTTTGGATAGAAGCAGTTAAAATTGGAATTGGTTACTTTCAGTTATGCGCGTGGATATTTATGACAAAAGGAAGGTAGAATTGTTTACTTGACATTGTATCAAAATAATATTGACTACTGGGAATTAGAGGCATAACTGTTAACAGTAGTAATCTTGTGTTAGTATCATAAATTCATAGGTGGATAAACTTATTTCTGCTCCAGTTCTGTATTTTTGCTTATGGCAGAATGTTTAGGCAAGGGAGAATTAAAATGTGAGAAAATTGTTACAGTATTGTTATTTATTTAAATTTATTGGCTGCCCAACTCCACATTGTGCAAAGCTAGAAAAAACATAAAAACAGCTAAAACATTAAATCAGACAGACAACCAAGACTAAAATGATCTAATAAACAAAAAAATCAACAAAACAAAACAGGGGCCTTAAACAAACTATAAACATCAACCCCAGGCCTGCAGAAATCAATGGTAATACTTCAGGAAGTAAAAGAAACACATAATGCCATTTTAATTATTATTCTTGATTGATTTTTATGGCCAAAGACCAAAGCAGAATGTAAGACCATTTGAGGGCAAATTACAGAAGAGAATTAGATATTGAAGAACCTGTTCAGAAACTATATGTTGCTATGATAAGGAGCTTTCTCCCTCTTTCAGAATTAATCCTTTGAACTATAGCTTCATGTGGTCAGCTCATTTCCAATTAATTACCTAATAACCCAATCAGTCCTAAAGCCAACTTCTTTATCATAGGAGAAATGTCTTGAGAAGAATTTCTTAGAGTAATCCCAGCAGTCACTATAGGTCATAAGAATTGCAGCAACAGCATGACACTGGGAGCTAGAAATTAGAAAAAAATCTGTCGCTAAATTCACAGAAAAAAGAGAGAAACATGAAATCGTAGAAAGTATGAAATTCAGCCTCACTGGGAACTGGAAACATCCCCAAATATATATTCAGCTCAAAATTATACTGCACTCTTAAAAATATCCCCAGAATTGAGGCCTGTTTTACCCTGACATTTTAAATTGGTGCTCCAGCAACCAGGTCATATAAAACATGGGTATTTGCAGGGGCACAAATGATGAAACATGTCACAATGGAAACTCTGGCCTTTCTGTATTTGTGGAACATGTAGCAGGTGGATCTTGCATGAGGGATCTTGTGTTGTGATACCACTATGTATGTTTAATCACTTTGATGCCGTCTCAGCTTGCTATGGACATCCCTGAATAAAAAACACTCTTACACATTCGTTGAACATTTGGTTTGTTCAAGAAATCAGGAAGGTGGTCTCTATGCTCAGTCGTGTTTACATCTTTTTCAATTTACAGGTGGCAGTACGTGTCCAAAGATCTTAGTCACTCCATCCTGCTCATCAAACAGTACAACTAGGCTGTACAAGCCCAGCATCTGCAATGAAGTGGTTCAAGGAGTAAATGGAAGCGATCCAGTTAAGTATTCCCAGTGGCCAACTTCAGACTCAAAGCCACAAGGTCAGTAGCATCTCAAATCTGCACCTGGCTTTGATTTCAGGATCCACTATCAGTTGAATTAATTATACAACATGCGTTGCACAGATAAAACTGCTCGCTTGCTCGGATGAATGAAGCCCTAGCCAGGGATTAAGCCATTATGAGTTGAAAATATTGAGAAATGGATTTAATGTGTATTTATTATTAAAAGGTTATTTTATTTAGCTTCTCAATAATTCTTTTTCTGATCTGAAACAATTCTATACTGCAAGATCAGCTTCCTCAGTTGTTTAGGAGAAATTGAGGTAGGAATACTGAGGAGCAAAATGTGTTTCCTAGATATATGGCTTTGTCAATTGGGGCTTTTCTGGGTGAAGGGAAAACAACATAAGGATCACTTGCAGAGCCTAGCTTCTGGAATTGTTTCCAACCCTTTTACCAGCAGTGGCCCAAGGAGATGTCTATATTTTTTCTGTGTAACGGGGTGACATGTTACATCTGTCTGTGTTTCAGCGCTTCCCTTATTTCGCATCTGTGCATGCTCGTGCATTGGGAAGCACAGGATGGGTGTGTATGCTCTACTTTAGGTCACATGACTAGAATAGAGCACTTGCCAGCATTCTGAGCTGCTGCCAAAGTGCGTGTCCTACAGGGATTCATTGGGGGGATTTGGGGGGAGTGTAGCCCCCAACCTCATCTAACATGAATCTTTCCATAATGTACAGTACTTGCTCATGTTATTGTTCAAGACTAGCAGTCATGGTACAACATGTATATGAGTTAAAAGTGAAACATCTCTACCTGTGGTAGCTGTGCTCATTTTCATATTGCTGATTGACCTTGGTTGATCTTGAAAAGCTAAGCAGAGTGAGATGTAGTATTTGGATGAGAGATCAATGGGAAATCCCAGGGATGTAGGCTAGACTGGGAAGTTGAAAGAACATCTCAGAAGAAGGCAGTGACAAACCACTTCCATATTGTTGTCCAGAAAATACATGGGCATGTCAATGCAGGATAGTCACCAGGAGTTGAACTCAGTTCAAAGGAGACTTTGTCTGTACTCATCAGCCTCAGTGGATCAGGTATCTAGTACAATTGTTGCAAAGTATGAGAGGGAAAACGTAAAGAAATTCTTTCTTCCCTTCTCAGAATCTTTGTTGCCACTGGGCACAATCACCACAGTGGCATCAGTTTATTGAATTAAGGCGTGAATGCAATTGTCCCATTAATACATTCCTCAGTTCCAACACAACTAATTAGAGGTATGCAGCATTGATCAGCACAGTTTTTCCAGATCATGTAAGTGGAAAGGTTATTTAAATTTGTGATCAGATACTTACCAAAAGTGTTGTTGTAACTCCTTGATTCCCAGAAGATTTCCCACTGTGGAATAGTTAGCAAGAGACGTAGCAGGGAAAAAGCAGCAAATAGAGTAGAAGCTATAGAATGGAAAAGCTTTTACACACTGCCCAGATGCCCTTATGCACTTCACTCACCTCTCACAGAGCTCCTTTTCATCTCTTAATTTATAACATAAAAGTGGAATTCTGACCAGCTGGGTTTCATCAGTCTTGTCATGGAACATGGTTACAATTTAGAGGACAACTTGGAAAGGGTGTCTAGCTTTTCTTGGGCCATTCTTAATTATGAAGTTCATGTCCTGATTTGTGGTGCTTTTATTCGTCAGTCATACTTTGATCTTCTCCTAGTGTTTTGGGACATCATTGTTTTAATTGACCCTAGCATTTCCATGCATCTGTGTGTTTAGATGGATGTAGATGCTTACTAGATTTGAGTCCTCATTGCATAGCTCATTAAGCTAATTATTTGCTGGTCAGGTCTGCAGAGATGTAGTCAAACATGGACTCTCTATCATTCAGCTAGCCCTTGAAGCTCTCCTTGTCTCCTGTCACTTGCGAAAACCAGAGGAGGCTTTATTTATTTTATTTAGTAAATTAAATTATGCTTAATTAAATAATTTAATCCTTAAAGCAAGCACTGGGTTTGAACTGCAGTGGGTATAGAGGGGACTAAAACCCCAAGCTGACAAAGTGCAATCAGCTGCTATAAGTGGCAGTAAAGGTTCTTATTTAGCCATGCTCTGGTGAGTGTCTAAGTAACTTTGAACCAGAGAGCTGACATCATGCAACTTAGTTTCTAGCTTTCTGAATCTGTTCCAGTTGTTTCTCTGAATCCTTCTCAAGTGTGGTGCCCAAATGTGAATACAACACTGGAGGTGAGGGCCTAACTAAGGCAGAATAAGGTGGCTATATTTTTCCCATGATTTGAAAATTATATTAATTTTGTTTATTTTTGAATTGCACATTAGTTGATCTTTAATATATGTTGAGAGTCAGTCTTGGGTTAAAGATTGTATGTATGTATTTATTTATTGTAATGCAATAAATAGAAGACATCTGTGAGTTCAAAACACTGTCTGTGGTACGGACTGTCTAATAACTCCTTGCTCATTCATTCCAGTGAGTGAATTCTTTCCAGCCATCCTCTGCTAGGGACTGCTGTTAATATCTTAGTCCTACATGGGGATGAACTCATTCTTTCAAGTTTCTCTTGATGTCAGGAGGGTACAGGTTTACACTGAGCAATCTCAGCTGCCTCTTAACTTCAAGAGACGCTATCATAGCATCACATGCTCCCACTAGAGTATCTCTGGGAATGTTCTTGGTCCAAAACAATGACTCGTGTAGCAGCATGATAGACCGTAATTTCCAGAATATGAGTATTTATGCACAGGTGATTTCTTCTGAACTTGTTTGTTTCCAATATAAGGCAGTGATTAATGCAGAATTAGACAGTGAGGTTCTCTGGCTGAATATTTTTTAACACTTAACCCCAAACCTTTATATTTATGCTATGTAAGGAAAAACCATGCTTCTTGATTTTAATTCAAAATAAAGTATGCTTCTGTTATCAGGCATTGGGAAACTTTGCTTTATCCCTTCTTGAAGCTTTGAGGGTAAATTGTCTTTATTATAAACTGTGCTAAGGCATTGATCTGTTGAAGGCTGTTCCTGTGGTGTTGGTTTTAGTAGCTGCAGTTATTGATGGATAATAGAAGATAATAAAACGTTATATGATATGGAAAAAGCACTTAGATACTTTCTTGCCTGTGGTGTAATCTCAGAATTTAGGTCTTTTACATGTGACCCAATAGGATAGAGAGAGGATGGATTAGAACTATCATTAATATGATTCAACAGGTTTATGGTTTATGTTCTTATTACAATAATGCTGCTTTGAATAATAAATTAAGCACATGGAGTACTAATTTCAAAATTAAGTGGAGGTGTTGTGACAAATGGTCTAATAATCTGTTTTCCAGGCTAGGCTCAGAATTTATCTAGGTAGGCGCAGGAGAGATAATTGAAGCTAAGTCTTTAATACTTACTATAATTTGTAAATAAAATGATAGGTAGAATAACAATGACTCTAAATATCCTTAGGAGAAACCCCTTTTGTTTCTGTTATGGATTACGTGACAGTGATTTATGCATTTCAGATAACTAACACAGTAGATACATGTTTTCTGGCATTGGCAACAAATGTGTGAAGTTGTTTAAATTGAAATAAAATTTGATAAACAGAAGCACTGCTATACATTGTATAACCACATTGTAGTAAAAAATATTCCAATTATTATTATCGTTATTATTAACAGAGAACATTGTCCCTGGTTTACTGTATGATTGTACATTCAGAGATCTGTCTTTAAAGATGTCTGCCTGTAATGAAGTGGAAAATATTCAAAGTCTGTTTTTGCTGCTCATGATTTGTGTGCTGGCAGCCAGCAGCAGTATCTGACCTGTTTTGAACAAAGCTCTTTGGTGCTTGCTTTCTGCAAAATTGCTTAAATTCAGGCAGTCCCTAGTCATCTGGAGTGGCATTTTGGGTTGCATAGAAGGGGGAGTGGGGGGATAGAAAATGTTTCTTGGTATACCTCACCTTAGTTTCTACACCTTTGTATAATCTCTAAGAAGGTTTCTGGGAACTCTCCTATGGTGCATTTAGTCCATGCTGAAAAAAATTATTTCACCAAAATCCTAGAACAAGATGCACTTTCATAATGCATTATATAGAAATATATTGTACATTATAGGAAATATAGTCTTCCGTTGCTTGGCTAAAAAGGAGAAAATCTGTTTTAGAGGGGAGGGGAGTTTTGTAGAACAATTGACACTAATTGATTGTTTTGCATAGAGCCAACCCAATAGCTACTGTATTTCTTTACTGTCCCAGTAATTTCCAAACAAAGTGCTGGTGCTGTTTAGTATGCAGTGAGACATCAATAAGAACACATGTGAGCAGTGTTTCTCCTCATGATTAATTACTGAAGCTTTGTCACTTTCTTCTCAATCATACTCTGCCTGGTTAGAAACATACAGGCAGCACAGAACATCACAGCTGGGCTCCATTTGGAGTAGGTGGTACTTGTTCAGTGCTAGTTGAGAAACGCTGGTCTTCCCAAACTGGCGGTTTTCTTTCCTTTCACCATCACCACACTTTCTGGCACATGTTTCTTGGCAAGGAGGTGAATCTTTAAACATGCCGTACTTTTTCCACTGACTCAGCCCAGCACTTCTGGCATTTCTTATGGAAGGATGCAGGCTGATATCTGGCTTATAATTTTAAATGCAGTCATTAATCCATTTAAGCAGCTTCTTCCTCTTCCTTGGGGCAATTTTGTGCTCTCACTTTGCTTTGGAAATTGGTCTCAGTCTCTCCCCTTACCCTTCAGAAGTTTTATCATCTCTGTGAGCTGTATATTCAGTTTTTCGACAATTATCTGTACACTGGTCTAGATCTACTAGTCTGTTCTAGAGGAAAATTCAGAATAGGGAATGAATCACCAGAACCCGGGGGATGGTTCCTGAGGTGTTCTCAAGAAGCACTGAGAAACAATACAGCTGTAGTCAGTTGTTATGGCACTTCCAATAAAAATAAGAGTAACTGTGAAGGCTGCCCTTCCAGTTATGATTCTATCATTTCCTCGTTTCTTCGTCTCTTTGAGTTGATTACAGAAAAGGATCAGTTGAAATGCTGTTGTGATTTTGTTGTTACAATTGATTTTACTCTGTTGTGTACAGTACTTTATATCCTGGAATAATTGATTTATAAATCTCTGTGTGTTTCTGGTTGTGTGGAACAGATTTGTGTGCTTGTAGATAAATTTGTTTGGGACAACTTCACATGTTAGAATGATCGATAGTGCTGCAATGGCCCACAGCTGAATTAAAGTTCTTAATCTTTGTTGGTGGCATGGAGGTAGCAGTGGTAGTTTCCAGTATTGAAAAGCCTTTACTAATTCCTTTTCTGTAGTTGTAATCTGCCTAGTTATATGGAAACTGCAGCTTCTGGAGATCCATTTGGCGGATAGCCATGACGTCTGCAGCCCTTTCACCTAATCTACACGTGATAAAAACCCTAAGTACTATGCCAGTGTATGAGAGAGAAAAGCGGGGTTGTCTAAACGGAGCTTCTCCATTCTCATTAAATGCTGGATTGATAAAGCATATTTAGCCTACGATTGTTCCCTAAAGCTGGCAGTGTCAAAGGTGAGCAAGCATCGGAACATATTCTTGACTGTGGTTGATATTTAGTGTGGCTTGAATCTTGGCATTAGAGGTAGATTTTGTTTCTAGATGGAGAGAGAATCAAATAATCCACGTAACTACACTAATCTGTAAGTATGTGTATTTTTTCTGTATAAAGTTGGGCCTGTAGTAGATGCAGTTTCCCTCTTCCAATCCTATGTTGCTTCTGACATCACATCTCCCAGTCTTTCTAGCCAGGTTGTAGGAAGTCATGTAGGGAAAAAGTTGAAGCTAGGGCTAAAGAGCTTGTTGAAATTGGATGAATTATCTCTAAATAGCCCATACAGGTAGTCTTCATTTAGTGACTCAGTCGTTAAGTGAAGCAATTGCTAAGTGAAACAAAAACTGTGCTTATGATCTTTCTTCAGGTTTTCTTTGCTTTGCTTTACAGACCTTTGAAGGTCGTAAATGCAAGGATTGGTTGTAAAGTTACTTTTTCATCACCATCATAACTGCAAACTGTTGCTAAACGAGGTAGTTGCTAAACGAAGACTACCTGTATTATATTTTACATTTTTGAACATTTAATGTAAGAAAAGTAACATCTGATCATATTTAGAGTGCTTCCCCTCTGATTATATGCTGCTTTAATCTAGCTTCAATGTGCAATGCTTTCAGATGAGAGAAAATTACTGACACTTGAGACATCTGAGAAAAATCTGTTTTTCATGTGATTACAGTGTCAGTTCTAAAAAGAGAGGTTGGGATGCTTAGAATGGGTTGCTTAAATTCATGTTCAGTAACATTGATCTTATTGAATTCTGGATAATGAAAATAACTTGGGTTTGTAATCTTTTGGTTTGACTAATAGTGGAGTAAACAGCTGAGCACTAGATTGCAAGTACAGTACATCTTTGTCTTTTTGGATAGACATGTAGGATGTAAAAAATAGGCAAAGGCTTGTGTGTGTAAGCATACCTGCTAGACACATTAGTGTATGCAAGCTAGAAATAGGATTAGGCATTATTCTCTACTGAGGTGTACTTTCAATGCATTAAATCGACCTTTGTGTAATCTGAGAAACATCCGTCAGCATGGCATAATGCTAACTGGCATAATGTTAACTTCTAAATCATTAGAACATTAGCTATGAGTCTATAATAATAAATAGAAAACTTGCATTGAATATTTTGTAAATGAACTCTTGGCCCTCTTACCTGAAGATTATGGGTATGGTACTTCAGAACATTTTGAGGGTGTCACATTGAAGAGGACAAAGAAGTCTTAAGTCACTGGTTTGAGTAGCACTGGTGTGTGAAATTCCTACAAATATGAAAAGTAGTGAGTGTTGCTTTTTCTTTGCAGTGCCTCCAAAGCCATTACATCTGCAGAATTCACAGTCATCCATTACCCACCAAACCCCTAAGTGTAAAGCTTTGTATACCACGAAGTCAAGAATGGAGGAAATTACACCTATCTCTTCTTGTGTATCGAAAGAAAAATCTAGTAAAGTGTCTGATCTCATCAGTCATTTTGAAGGAGGCAGGTAAACGTATTTCATTTTTATTCAAAGGTTACAGATTGAAATGAGCATACGTGATGATAATAAATGAAGAGGAAGAACATGTTCCATTCTTATGGCAAGTACAGACAGTTGCTATGGTTGATCTATTAAATTGCAGAATTTGAATGATGATACATTATTGATTGGACTGGATCACTTTTTGTTGAAAATGAAAACTAATATTCTTATGACACGCACAGAAATGTGTGTGCATACATATAATGATCAGAATTTAAGTAGAAATAATAATTGATTTCTTTTAAAAGTTACCTTCAATTGGGATTAATTTTAGAGAGTGATATGTGAAGAATGAGTGAATGTAAGAAGTAGATATGGCCAGAAAGAAAATTAGATAGGATCATCCATTTTCTTTCTTTTTATAACCGCCCACATTCCCTCTCTTACTCATGATCACATCTCTTTTTATTTTCTCTCCCCCTCAATATGCAGCAGGCTGGGACAGATTTCACTTGGAGAGTGGTCTGAATTAAATGCTATTAGTAGGCTTTTGCAATGAGGATGAGAATCATATGTAGCCCAAGGTCCACTCCTGATTTACTACCATTGGCTTAAGTATACCTGTGTTCATGCAGACTTTTGACAGCAAAAAGATGAAAAGCTTGATTAATTTTAGTAATATTACCAAATTAGTAATATTGCTGCAAATCCTGTTCTCCCTTCAGTATATCTTCAGTATAGCCATGATTATTCACTTAAAAGAACTTGAGCGTTCATCTGCGATTTTAGATTTGTTATCCTTCATTTTTCAAGAGTTCTTATCCATTTTAGATATCAAGCTAACATTGCTTGTTTGCAGCCCACCCATTTGCCCTTTTTAAGATTTCTATTCCAGCAGGTTGCTAACATTCATGCTTTTCTCATAAAGTCATTTCACAAGTTCAGCACAGTGCTCCAAGATGGTTCCTGTTATTCCTTCTGGGATATATTTTTTTCTTCTGTCCAGTTCAGGAAGAAAGGATCTGGTAATAGTGAGAGTCTTACTTCATAAAGATTCTTACTTTAACACTATCATCTACAGTAGTAGAATCCCGTTAGTACTGAGTTGATCTTCCTTTATTCCTTTTCAAGCTTAGAAGACTCCTGTGTCTTTTCTAAGGAGCTGCATCCTCTTGATAGCAGTGCATAGCCAAGCTGGATAAAATCTTTTCCTGAGTGACATAGATCTTGGCTAGAATAGATTTAATTAGGTGGCTGCAAATATGAACTTCAGAGTTAATTTACTAATGCCAGATGGCTTTTTTACTGAAGTGACTTTCCTGATATCCTAAAAGTGGACAATGTCTTGGTAGTAAATGGTCCGGCTGCTTCAGGTAATATCCCTGCTTCTTCTTGACCAAAGCATCCTCCTCGCCATCTGTATCTAGATTTAGCATCTCTCCTATTCAAACTTATAGTTGCCAGCTTATTATAGAAGGACATGATGTAGGTTCTACAACTGCAACTTACTTGAATGTTTTTTTCTAGAAAATTCTTAATTTGTACTGAATGATGAAACAATGGAAATCTATACATAAATCTTCTGGGACCTCCATGTTGGGTTAGCTTCATTCCAGAACAGAAATCTGTTGCCTTTTCATTCTAGAATTTTTTCCTCGGTTTATGGGTCCTTATCTGTTGAGTGACCTAAGATGCAGGTGTTTGGGAAACAAATGATAAGGGATCCTCATGCAAATGAGTTTAACCATTTCTAAAGAATGGTCTAAAGTAAGAAAAGGGCACCATTGCAATAGGGAGTAGGGAATGACCGAATTCCATAAATATTTGGAGTCTGATAAAATAAATTAGTCTAGCTCTTGGGATCCATAAAAATTTTCCTATGGAGAAGCAACGATGGAGGGCACATAGTAGAGGAATATCTTTCGGGAGGGAGGAGTCACTTTGAGCAAGGTGATAAATGCCTTGCATTGATAAATTGGAGTTTTCCAGAAAGAGGTACCAGTAGATAAACCAAACACCATCTCATCTTAAACAGCCTAATTGTATCTTGGGTGGTGTACAAATCAGCATGCTTCACTAAGGTTAAAATAGGGCTTGGAACATGTAGTCTTGCTGTCAAAACTGTTGTGATTTCTTTAAATCTCCTTTTGTTCTAGTTACCTGCAAAGATAGGTGGGGGGTGGGGGGTGGGGAGGGTTGTGCTGTCCAAGGGAAAAGTAGAAGAGGGAGAAACTCCTGTTGCCTGGCAGATTGTATGAGAGAGCTAGATTGGAAACCAATTGCTTATGTCCTGTCTTTTTCATAGTGAGCAAAATTAATGAAGATTAAGCCAAAATTACAACTAGGTTCAGAAATGATGGCTCAGCTCACACATTATGCTAAATGCTTGGTTTGGTTTTGGCTAGGGCTACAGGTAGTCCTTGAGTTAAGAATGCCAGGGTTACAGATGACCCATAGTTAAGAATGGAGCCTATTGTAGCAAAATTTGAGTTAAATACACAATGATTCGAGTAAAATGCACAATGGTTCAAGTTAATTACACAATACTACTTATGCAGTATTATACAATAATACTGTTCTGGCTTACATACAAATTCAACTTAAGGATAGACCTTGGGAATGGAATTTGTTCTTAAACTGTACTGTATTACATCTGGACTGAAAAATATCTGGATTACTATTAGATGGCAGCAAAAAATTAGAATGTTCTATATCTTTTTCCTGCTCTCTAGTGATCCTCATGATTTTTGCAATGCAGATATGTTAGCCCTAGTTTAGGCTTAATGCGCATGAATTTAACATGTGGGTTATAAACAGTGGCTTAGTACATTGTAAGAAGCCAGCAAACAATAAATCACAGCCAAAACATTATGTTGCTAAAACAATGATTAAGTGGTTGCCCCATCATTATAGAAATGCCCTTAGAAGCAACAATGGTGTCACACTGTCTTCCGGAAGGTGAAAAAGATAGGTATTGCTGGGTATCTGGAGCCCAAATGTTTTATAGTTGTTTTTTTTTTCCCATTTTCTTAATTTATATTCTTTTGATTTTATGTTAATGACAGCCCTTGGAATAGATTTTGGAATTTTATATTGCTTTTATTTGTTTCATGGATTTTTAAATTTCTGAGTGTGGTAATTATCTACAGTACAATGTAGATATTGTAGTAAATGAATAAATAAGTTGGAATTTGTAATCAGTAAATCATGGCTTTTTACAAAATAGACCATAGTTTGATCAGCTTGGGCATTACACAAATAATAATAATAATCTGTTTTAGCATTATTTATTGATATAGCTGCAGTAAACAGTGCTGGTCTAGGTGAACAAGTAGCCTGACTCAGCATAAGATAGTTTCCTATATTTGTTTGTATGCTCACAATGCTCTGTGGTGTATTTCAGATAAAAATCCAACATAAAGAACGTTATACTGGGGAAAAGAATTAAGATATATAAAATTAGTGTTAGTAGTGAACTGAATAGCTGCATTTAAAATCAGTATTAGTATTTCTAATAGCCAAAGGGTGTGTGTGTGCACGTGTGCATGTCTTGAGATGTATCAAAAAGTAGAAATTAAATACCCAGATTACATTTTTCTGATTTCTGCTTCTATGTAAAAAAGGGGAGTAATTATTAGACTCTTTGTGTCACAATTTGTGCTATTTGTGATGGTGATGGAACTCTGTGTTTACTGGAACTAGAATCTGCATAATTTTGCAATTTAGTTTTTGCCTGGTGCTTTCCATTATTTTTGGGAGGTTGGACCTGGCACATTGCTTCAAAGACCTTAGTTGAGGAAATGTTATACCTCTCCTTAGAAAAACAATTTGTTGGTTGGGGGGGACACTATTTTTAAGAAAAAATGTGTTCATTTATTTGATTTATTAGATTAATAAACTCCTTTTGTTCAAGAGCTCAAAGTGATCTATGCAGTGCTTCCCGCTATTTTCTTTCACAACCAACCTGTCCTGTAGGAGAAAGAACAGGATTTTTGTCCCAGTTTGAATATGCGTCTCCCCCACCCTCACCTTTCTGCCTTTCTATTAAACTTATGTGAAGCATAACTTCTTGGTTTTCTTTAGTTTACTGCTGGAAAAAAAGGCAGAAAATTGTGCCACTCTAGTCTGGCAACTTGATGTCAGATTCAGTGGTATAACCTTGGAATATCTGAAATGAAATAGTGTTTGGTTAAAAGTACCTCATCTTGGGTTGTAAAGAAGAAAACATTTGACACAAAGAAGGACTAGATTCCTTTGAACCATTCAGATGTACAAGCAAACCCACCTCTCTCTGCATAATGCATAACACAAAATCTTCCACTTTGTCAAGAGATTTAAACCTAAGGTTTCTTATGTACTGCTAACAAATAATATCTTTTGTTTGGGGCCTAGCATAATTTTTGAATCTATCAATAGAAGCAAATATGTGTAGCTCAGGTTTGAACTGTGGAGTCCTTGGGGTTCTCTGAGCTTGGTTGTTTTCTTGCAAATGTTTCGTTACCCGGCTAGGTAACATCTTCAGATGATGATGGCTGGCTGGCTGGCTGGCTGGCTGGCAGGCAGGCAAGAGAAAGGAAGGAAGGGAGGGAGGGAGGGAAGGAAGGAGAGAGAGAGAGAGAGAGAGAAAGAAAGGAAAGAAAAAGAAAGGAAAGAAAGAAAGAAAGAAAGAAAGAAAGAAAGAAAGAAAGAAAGAAAGAA